TTCTGCTTTCACAGTATTTTATTACTGGACCTTTGTGTTTTTTAATTGGATTTTTTTTTGTATTTTTTTTTTTTTTATTAAAATAGTTTAGGTTTATATCAAATAAATAATTTTATATAGGGTTGATAAGGGAAAGTCACATGGGGTAGTTGCCTCAAGAGCTATATCTCAGATTTTGAGTAAAAACTGACATACATTCGGACAACAATTTGTATAATTAACTATATAATCAAGGCATATTTTTACTCAACATTTTATATTTTAAAATGTAATTCACTTTTCTACAATTAATAACAATACATTTTTTTAAGAGTATTAAATGGTAGATTTTCAATAGAAATAAAAGGTCAACGTGTGTTCAGTGAACTATATTTTTTCCCCTAGGCAATGACAGTAATAATGTTCATGATTATTTAATTTAATTTAATTTAATTTAATTTTATTGCCAAGACTTTAAGCTGTAGGACTTTAATTTAATTTAAAAAATAAACATAAACTTATAAACATAAACTTACCTTCAGAAATATTTATTGGGGTAAAAAAAAGTAAAATAAGTGTAAAAACAACCCCTGGTCTTCCCTAAAGATTCTTAATAATATATTATGCTTCAAATAAGATGTTTTACTCCTTATTTGAAGTAAACAAGATATGATTACCTGGACAAATTGACTGTTCTTTTCTTCCGAACTATTTTTTTCCCCTTAGGCAATGACAGTAAGAATGTTCATGATTTATTTAATTAAATTGTATTTTTTATCACTTTAAGGTAAAGGACTTTTACAAACAAATAAATAAACAAACTTATAAACATAAACTTACCTTCAGAAATATTTATTGGGGTAAATTTTTTTTAAAATAAGTGTAAAAACTACCCCTGGTCTTTCCTATAAAGTTTCTTAATAATATACTATAATATATAATTTGATTTACATCTTATTTGAAGTAAACGAGATATGATTACCTGGAAAAATTGACTTTTTTTGTAACTATAATAAATCAGGCAACACTGACTGACTCATTCAGAACTGATGAATAGGTTGTCTTATGAATTATTCAAGATCCCTCGATTATGCAGTGCAGTGCTGTAGTTAATGTCTCTGCATTAGTATAGATACTTGTCTGAGACATCAGGTATCACTGCCCCGCCTCCTTCCTGCTTCTACTGCAGTATATAGCTGATCTGTGTGTGTGTGCTGTAGTGTTTGTGTGTATGTGTGCTCTTTAAGCTTCTCTTTTTTCCTTCACCTTCTAACACTGCATCTTTTATTTTTTCCTATTAATCTCTCCCTTGCTCTGCCTATGCGGTCAGCATCGAGAGCACTGCATCCATTCATGACTTCTGTGTGAGTTCGGCGGGCTCAGCAGAACACTTTTTGCTGGTGTAATGCTGACTCCGTTTCTGAGCGGGGATGTAAAAGCAGTGCTGGTCAGGGGTGAGGCCTCGTCCTTGGAAATATCAGAACGATAGAGTTTCAACAGAGCATTTATAAACTAACTCATGCAGTACAGCTAGAACCACGTCAATACAGCATTACAGCATATACATCTCTCTCCTAAGTGTGGTTATGGTCATGGTGTGTTTGACGGCTGCTGGTATTGATTTGGTTAGAGATGGCGTATAGATTCAGGTCCCTGCAGTGCCAGCTGGTTGTGAATCTAATGCAGCGTGAGACTTTTAATGACATCACCCACACACATTTGCCAAGCAACAAACAGAATTTTAACTCTAGTGTGTGCGTTCTTAATTGAGGTGAATATCAGACGTTAGGCTTATGTAAGTGCATTGACTTGTTTTCCTGGAAGGGCGCTGTAACCTGAGGAGCTTTAGCATCGATCACCGTCTGCCCTTCCCAATCATATAAGACATGATCCTCTCAGCTTTTTATTTTTATCAAAAATATGAGTCTCACATTTCTGATTTTTAAATTCTCTTGTATAATTGTCCCATAGACTTCAATTGTGAGCGCATTACTGTAAATACATTTTTATTGTATTTTTACCAACTGAAGGATGTCTAAATTATTTCATAACAACCTCAATTAGTATTTTTTTATATAAAATATTCCTTTATTTTTATTTATTTATTTATTTATTTATTGCCAAACAACATAATTGTCTGGAATTTAGGCAATGACAGTAAGAATGGTGAGCTCAAACAAAAACACATTCATACATACATATATAAATTATTCTAACCATAGGTGCCGATCATTTCTCAGGGGCTCGAGCACCCACGGAAAAACACGAGATAGTCTTTGATCATTTTAACCAATAAGAAATGGATTGCAGCTTGTACGACTTTATTCTCGTTTTCATAGTTCATTTGAGGCAGTTTTTGGCGTTATTTTAATGGCAAATGTCAAGAGTGCATTATTGTAATACGAGAGGGTGCCAGCATGAAACTCTCGGCTTGCAGCAGGCTTGCTCTCCCATATAGAGATCATGGCTCTGCGCTCCCTCAGATATTACGTGTGCGCCCTCAAACTTTGTCCTAGCTGTGTACGCGCGAATATATGCTTATTGTAAACAAGTATTTATTAAATCATTTTATTTAGTGAAGCGCAGCCCTCATAGAAAGAATGTGTATATTATTTGGTTACTAAAAAATGTATTTGCAGTCCATGCGTTTTACTTCGCAAGATACATTTTGTGAAGTGAATTCATCAAACACACCATCGAATGGATTATACTCTAGAAAAAAACTAAAACCCAATATAATTAATTAATGAATAATGAGAATGAAATATTTTAAAATCGGCGCCTATGATTCCAACTAGGGATGCACCGATACCACTTTTTTCAGAACGAGTCTGATACCGATACTTTCATTTTTGGTACTCGCCGATACCGATACCTGTATTTTCACAGCATTTGTAATATTTTTTTAAATATTGGGTACAGAAACAAAATAATAGTAATAATAATAATAATATGAATCATGTTATTTGGCTTCATTTAGCAAACAGATATTACCTTCAGTTATTTCCACACTTAATCATACCTGTTAAAATGTATTGATTATACGAGTGCATGCGTACTATTTTGGTGATGTAATTTGCGTCACGTGCAGTGTACATGGACCCCCGCGTACGAGTAAAAACCGAAATATACTTTGGCCTTAAAGCAAGCTAAACATACGCAGCGCGCACACGTTTGTATTGGTGCAGAATGAGAGAGACACTTATTCAGTGTTTGTTTTTCTGGACACAGCTCTATTCACACGCTGTTTGGTATCGGCTTTTGGTATCGGTGCATCCCTAATTCCAACCATTATAAAGAATGAAATACAGATGCATAAGTGCCAGAAGAGTTTAAAAAATGGACCATCCTACAATAGGTACAGTTCAAAAAGCGTGCAGACTTAGTTTTAATTGCCGTAAAAAGTCGTCTGCCTGAGGGTAAAGAAATAAAAAAAAAATGTCTGGCCAGATGTGTGGAATCTCTAAGAATTGTTAAGCCTTTTTACTGCAAACGTGAGTCATAAATGTCATCAATGGTGGGCAGATCACAGCCTATAATATTTGAGGCAGTCCGCACTACCGTATATTACGAATCTGACTTTTTTGTTGAACTGTGGAGCTGCCAAACCACACTATTATTGAGAAAGTCAGCACACTTTCTATGACAGCTCTATAAAACCTGAACATACCAGCTTTAGATACTCCAAATTTTTTGAGCTGTCTTAAGAAATACAATCTTTGATTAGATTTTTTAATAATGCCTCTTAAGTTATCCTGCCACTTCAATGATGCAGATATTGTGGTTCCCGAGAAACTTAAAACTCTCCACATTTTCAATGACCTGGCCATTAATAGTTAATGGCATAATAGCCTTTTTACCCCGTCGAAAGTCAAACACAATTTCCTTTAAGACATTCAATTTCAAATTGTGGGTACAACTCCATTCAATCAATGTAGATACCTCCTTTCTATAATCGGTTTCATCATTATCTGTTATCAAACCAATTATTGTAGTATCATCTGCAAACTTTAAACATTTTTTAACTGATTCACTGTGTGAAACACAATCATCAGTATATAACAATGGTGACAATACGCAACCTTGTGGAGCTCCAACACTTATTGTTCTAGGGCTCGAAATCCTGTTGTTAATTTTGACTACCTGTGATCTATTCTGTAGAAAATACAAAATCCACAAAGCAAGGGAATGATGAACCCCCAATTGCTCCAATTTAACAAAGAGTTTTACTGGAACAATTGTGTTAAATTCAGATTTATAATCCACAAAAAGAGCCCTGACATAAGTGCCAGAAGTCTCAAGGTGTTGCAGGATTGAGTGAAAACAAAGAGCAACAGCGTCCATTGACTGACCTATTAGTCTTATAAGCAAATTGGTAAGAATCCAGACAGACAGTTGAAATTATATTCTTCAGTACCAATTTTGATTTTCAAAGATTTTCATTACGACCTGTGTTAGGGCCACTGGTCTGTAATCGTCTAAGCAGATAATATGCGGCTTTTTTGGCACAGGAATAATTATAGCTGCTTTAAAACATGCTTTAAACTTTATTCCTTTAAACTCACTGTTAGTTTCAGTATTACAGTCATAAATATATTCTGTATTTGTCATTAAACATATCGGCAAGGTAGGGTTTGTTTTTCCTGCAACCACTGATCTATATATATAGTAACACATGTTTAAGAAATTATGGCCTGGCTAGCAGTCAAGTCTTCATCCAGTCCAGGGTGAACATATGGCCCAACTAATGAATGGAACACAACATTAACAGCAGAGAAAAAGGTCATGTTGAATCATGCATGGTAGACATGAGAAGCATTTGCTCTTGTTCATGCTGACTGATATTTGTGGATATCAAATTTTTGTGTATAATTGCTCTTCAATGGTTCATTCAGTCACCCCCGTTTCAGGCTGCATTATTGATTTGTGGTAATGTTTTACAGTGCTACACCAGATATTTTAAAATTATTTTGAGGTAAAATATTTAAAATCCTTCTTTTATTTTCTTCTTATTTGTAAAGGACTGCTTAATTCTAGAAAAGAATGATTTCCACCACCCAGTGTGCTCATTCCAAGATGACTTCCAAGAGTTTGAGATGATCGATGATGAAGATGATGAGGAAGAAGAAGAGGATGCAGATCCTAATGCCCCTCCCTCACCATCAGCATCTCCTCCCCCCTCCCCTACTCTGGGCACCCTGAAGAGCCGGCCAACCACTCTAAACCTGACTGCACCAGTTTCCCAGGTACCTCTTATACACACCTGAAATCAATATATCAATAAACACGTTTTCAGTATTTAAACTCTTCTTTTTGTCCTAATCTCAGGACTCCCTGAACAACAACAGCAATGTGTCACCACGAAAGTTAAGCTGGCAGGATTCTCTTCGAAACCCGACTTCACAGGGTAATTGTTGTTTATATATATATACAGTATATATATATATATATATATATATTTCCAAAACAGAATTCCAAAACTGATTCCAAGATTCCAAAACATATGAACAGATTCCAAAAAAAAAGCTCTATACAAACTCTAACTATTCATGCAATTATTGCATCAGAATGTCATTGATCATATTCTTTTGATTAATATCTATTTTGGATATTTCTGTAGCTATAAATGTAGCCCATTGTTAATCATTTTACTCACCATTTTAGGTTGCTTGTCTCCAAACCACTCTTGCCTTGAGGATGGTTCCCGTGTAACTACCACATGCCCAGCGGCTCCAGACACCACCGGCTCTGCCAATGGTACACCCTCAAACCCACCAGGACATTGTGGTTTTCATCAGTCACCTGGCAGACGGCTGCTGTACGACTTTGAGGGCAACAGAAAAGAACAACCTGAATATGGTAAGAAATCATATTACTAATGGCTAATCAAAATTAATATAGGCTACAATATATCCATTATCATGGTGATATTGGACGTCTTCAGCAACATTTCTCGTTTTGTCCTTATCCTTGTCAACTTATCTCAGTTCCCCTCCATCTCTCTTTTTCTTTCTAAATCTTTCTTGTCTTCCAAACCAGGCTCCTTTGGTCAACATAACTCGTCAAGTGGGTCTGAGGCAACTGAGGTGAAACCTGATGTTGAGGAATCCACTCTAAGCGAGCTTGATCCCTCAGTGGATGACTGCACTTCTCAGTGCTCCGATACCGAGGTCGACCATGACCTGAATGGTCATACCAAGCGTCGACCTTGCCGCTCTCGACCCAATGACACTTATACCGTGACTACGGAGACTGCTGATGACCCAGAGCTGGAAAACGATGGCACCAGTAGGTGTCTGTCCTCAACCGCACCTCTTGGTAACGATGCTGAGACTCCGTTATCAGATGAGGAGCTGGACAAAGAGTTTGACATTGACTTCATAAGTAAAGATACCTATGATCAAACCTGCAAGGAAGATGAGGCGTCTTCTTACGTTGAGTTCCCCTGCATTGAACCAGCTGAGTCCATTTCTGTCTCCAGCTACGTGTCGTCCAGTCGATCAGACGTCCTTGACGCTATGGACGAACTTCGAAACATGCGTCAGGGTCAACCTGCTGCAAATGACACAACTTCTCCTTCATCTGATCCTGGTATCGCTGATATGAATGCCAAACGCTATGCGGCGTCAGACCGCCACAGCGATGACCTTAGCTCTCCTGGATCAGACTCTGATATTGAAGGGGAACTTGAGGCTGCGTTTGCATGTGGTCCACTTGCTAGTAACATGATTTCCTCCATCTCAGAAACAGAGCTGGACCTGACCAGTGAATCCAGCAGCGGGCGCTCTTCGCACCTCACCAATTCCATTGAAGAAGCTAGCTCCCCAACCTCAGACCAAGAACTGGACCAGGAGCTGGACCCTGAACAGGACAGTGGTATTGTAGGTCTAAAAGCTTCTCTTCTTCTGGGCCAATCTGAGCCAATTAAACAAGAACCTTCACCAGGTCTAGACCCCAGCCCAGACATGTTACCACTAGATGATGGCCAAGCTCTGATGGGCCTGCAGAATGTAGATGACGAACAGGGTTATGAGCACCAGGCCGATCCAGATGAGACTCTTCCCCCTGCCATCCCCTGTGAGGATAGCGGCTCCCAGCAGCTGTTGTTGAAGATTGAGCCTGACCACAGTCTTGAGAGCTTCAGACGCTCCTTCTATTTGCCAGTTGGCCCCAAACTCATGCCCTCTGTGGACGACTATGATGGTAACAGTGAGGGAGAGTCCGAGTCAGAGTCCGAAGATGAGCTCAGTGAAAACTCTGATTCTCCTTGGCTTCTCAGCAACCTGGTCAACAGGATGATCTCAGAAGGCTCCTACCCAATCAGCTGCCCAGAAGAGTGCCTCAAACGCTCAGCCTCGATCTCTGACACCATCTCACCCTCGTCGGACTTGGAAACAGATACTTTCAATGAGACGGATGGCTGCAATTCACAAAAGCAGAAATCGGAAGAAAAGTCACAGGAGGTGACCTCTGAAAAGTCTGAGAAGAGACTGGACGAAGAGAAGGAGAGAGAAGCTAGCTATGTATCTGAAGAGGGACAGAAGGAAAGCAAGAGAACGGACACTTGTCTGTACATGAGCAACCCCACATATGGCAATGCTACACCCGTCTTTACAGAGAGATTTGATACCAGGACAAAGAATTATGAATCGGAGGACTTCCCATCCCAGAACTCATTAAAAAACAAGCAGAAAGAAGAAGAGGAGGAGCCAAATAATGACTTGATGATGGAGAGAATGAAGGAGCTGGAGTCTCCCAGCCTGAGCGAGAGCATAATCAGCGACAAAGACGAGGGACGGGAGACACGGGTCGATCAGATCACTTTGCAGCGAATCACAGAAGTCAAAAACAGCCTTACGCTGGACCTCCCAACAGCACAGACCAATCACTGTTTCAGTCTTACGTACTCAACAGATAACGATGAAGATGAGCAAGATACCTCCCCTTTCCTGGAGGATCTTCACAAGGTACCGTCACCCTACGGAAACGAGACTTACTTGGACAGCTCCCCACCTATTGATGAGAGTGTGCGAGAGTTGAGGAACGCAACCTCTGACCGGCCCATCGATGACTCCTTGGCATACGATTCAATGAAGTACACCCTAGTGGTGGATGAAAACACAACGCTTGAGCTGGTGAGCCTGAAGCGCTGTACCTCTGTTCTTAGCGAGGACAGTGATGGACTCTCTACTATTTGTGATCAGGAAGTTGTCGATGAAGATGAAGATATTTATGGCCAGGGCCAGATGGAAAGAGGCATGAGACCTGATTTGCTGTTAAGCTCCTCTGAAGAAGACTCCTCCCCTGAGGCGGATTTACCTTTCTCAAAGAAGTTCCTCAATGTGTTTGTCAACAGCACGTCACGGTCCTCCAGTAAGTGAAATTTAACACAGTGCACAAAAGATTTAAGGTATAGTTCACCCAAAAATGGAAAATTCTGTCATCATTTACTCACCTTCATTTCATTCCAAACCAATGAGATGTTTTGAAAAATGTGTTCAATCGTTTTTGTCCATACAAAGAAAGTAAATGTGGTCCAGTATTGTTTTGGACCCCATTAACTTTCACAGCATGGACAAAAACAGAAGAGAGAATATTATAGAGGTTTGGAATGCCATGAAGGTGAGTAAATGATGACAGAATTTTTGTTTTTGTCAATGATCCTTTCATTTTGGTTTCTTTGAAAGATTTCTTAGTGCCAAAAATCCATCCTTTGTTATTGTTTGCTCTCTCGCTGGATTAAACTAATATGACTAACACAGCAACATTTTTAAAGCTACTGTAAAGGCTTAATATACAAATATGCTCAAGGAGGAAATGCAAAATAAATTGTTGTATATTACCTAAATAAATTACCAAATTAAATTCATTCCCATTCACAGAGCCATTCTGAGTCCTTTTAGTACAGTTTAAGAGATTTAGATGATAATTTTACATAATTTAGGAGCCTGTCTCGCTGAACAGAAAGGATATTTAATAATCCTAATGAGATGACATCAGAAGATGAAGGATTTTGTATGACCTGCTTCTAAATGACATGATTTTTATTTAGAAAAACACATAATTAACACAATATACAGTGGCAGTGACATGACATGTGGCCAAGTGTGGTGTCCCATACTCAGAATTTGTGCTTTGCATTTCACCCATCCAAGTGCACACACACAGCAGTGAGTAGTGAACAAACACACACCCACAACACACACACACACTACCTTGGGGCTTATATCTCAGTATACAGTGACATAATGCATCTGCATTATGTGTGTTTCAGGCACAGAGTCCTTCGGGCTTTTCTCGTGCACTATAAATGGAGAAGAAAGAGATCAGACTCACAGAGCGGTCTTCAGGTGAGCAATGCTACCCACACTATAACCTAAATACACCTACAGTAGCTCTAATCAAAAAGCTCCAGTCTGGTTTAAAGCCCAATCACAAACCCTCAAGCAGCTCTTCTTTTTCAGTATCTGTTAAAACAGTAAACTGACTGCTCATAATATCTATTGCATGCAATACAAATGCAAGTTTTAATGCCCACGCTGCAGGTTCATCCCACGACATGCAGATGAGCTGGAGTTAGACATTGATGATCCATTATTCGTTGAGGAAGAGGAGGATGATTACTGGTACCATGGGTATAACATGCGCACAGGGGCCAGAGGGATTTTCCCAGCATACTACGCCCACGAGGTTGTTGGCCAAACAAAAGATCTGATGAGTAAGAATTTTGAAAATACAGTGTTTTCAAAATATAAATTTTTGGGATTACTGTTTTGGGGGGAAAATATGTATATACTTCTGTAAAAGAGTCCTTCTGGTAAGGAATATGGGACTGGTTTCTTTTTCTTTGGCCTTCACATCTGGTCTCTTTGTTAAAGCACTTGGTGAGTCAGCATTGTCTGTATATGTGTGTTTCCATAGTGATGAAGAGGAACCCTGCTTGGATGGAAAGCTTCCGAGTGCAGTTCCTGGGTTCGGTGGAAGTTCCTTATCACCAAGGCAATGGCATCCTGTGTGCTGCCATGCAGAAGGTACCGCAAACAGGAAATGTATCAGATTGTGCTTTACTTGTGTGAGATAGTACTCAATGAATGCACAATGTTACATCATATGATGCAAACAAGAACTAATGAGTTTGTTTATCTTTCAGATCGCTATGGCAAGGAAGAGGACGGTGCATCTTCATCCCCCATCTATTTGTGAGCTGGAAATAAGCCTGCAGGGTGTGAAACTAGTCATGAATTTGGATGATGAGTATGACTTTTCAGGGGAGGTAAGAGAGAGAGAAAAAGAGAAAAAATGTAAAGGTGCAACTTTATTTTTATTTTGCCCTGCTGGATATGACAGTAGTCTTGTTTACCCAATCAGCAGTCAGCAATGATTAATTTATTCTGCAAACAAAATATACGATAAATGGAGTTAAAAAAGCTAGTAGTATTAATCTGGTCCTCTCATAGACTTTTTAATATTTATTATCATTTTTTTATTTTTTATTTGGCTACTGAATCTTCATCTGATGTGTAAATGAATTAAAAAAAAATATATATACTGTGTGTGTGTATATATATATATATATATATACACACACACAGTATATATATTTTTTTCCAAGTGCACACACACAGCAGTGAGTAGTGAACACACACACACTGTGAACACACACCCGGAGCATACATTGTGAGACTATCTAAATTTCAGCATTTTGCCTGGTATTTTGATATTTATTATAATTCCTCTTCTCATTTCTTTTTATAGTTTGACAGATGTAGTCACTTCTTCCAAATGAAAAACATCTCCTTTTGTGGATGTCATCCTAAAAACAACTGGTAAACACACACACATACATTACCACTTTCTATTTTTTTAGTAAACCCCAAAACAAGTCTTCAAGTCTTCATGCATTTGATCAGTTTTGGAAGATTTTGCAGGCCAAAATAAGACTTGTCCCTCTCTCTGTGTGTCTCTCTGTAGTTATTTTGGTTTCATCACCAAGCACCCGATGCTGAACAGGTTTGCATGTCACGTCTTCGTCTCTCAGGACTCCATGAGACATGTAGCTGAGTGTGTGGGGTGAGTGTAACGCTCTTAAACATCACAATAACATTTACAAGAAACTTTTGACACTGAGAATAGCAGAGAAGGGAAGTTAATGAGAGTGATCGGTCTCTGCTTCATTACCAGAGCACAGGCCAGACTGCTGTGTGCATTATTAAAGCTTCTCTCTTTTGGAGTTATGGGCCCCAGCAGGAGGCAGCTATCTCTGCCGCATTACATAATAGGACCTTATGAACATATACATTATTTAGCCTTATCATTTAGCACAAAAATGAAGGGAAAGAAAGTTAAAGAACAGAAACTAAAGATGTTTTTATGACAATACTTTGTTTTCATCATTAATAACAAGACAGAAGCTCATCAACCTGCACACTTGTACAGACTCACAGCTTTAGTTTTCTGTAGAGTTGTTGAAATTATTCATTATTATTATTGCACACTTTATGCGACTAGTAAAGCCTCCAGCTATGTAGTTAGCTGGTGTGACTAGCTTCTGTGTTATAATGTGTGCTGGGCTTAAATAGACTTCAATGGATCTTTTTAATATTATTATTTAAATTATTATTTAAAGGGGTCATATGATGCGATTTCAATTTTTCCTTTCTCTTTGGAGTACCCACACTATAACCTAAATACACCTACAGTAGCTCTAATCAAAAAGCTCCAGTCTGGTTTAAAGCCCAATCACAAACCCTCAAGCAGCTCTTCTTTTTCAGTATCTGTTAAAACAGTAAACTGACTGCTCATAATATCTATTGCATGCAATACAAATGCAAGTTTTAATGCCCACGCTGCAGGTTCATCCCACGACATGCAGATGAGCTGGAGTTAGACATTGATGATCCATTATTCGTTGAGGAAGAGGAGGATGATTACTGGTACCATGGGTATAACATGCGCACAGGGGCCAGAGGGATTTTCCCAGCATACTACGCCCACGAGGTTGTTGGCCAAACAAAAGATCTGATGAGTAAGAATTTTGAAAATACAGTGTTTTCAAAATATAAATTTTTGGGATTACTGTTTTGGGGGGAAAATATGTATATACTTCTGTAAAAGAGTCCTTCTGGTAAGGAATATGGGACTGGTTTCTTTTTCTTTGGCCTTCACATCTGGTCTCTTTGTTAAAGCACTTGGTGAGTCAGCATTGTCTGTATATGTGTGTTTCCATAGTGATGAAGAGGAACCCTGCTTGGATGGAAAGCTTCCGAGTGCAGTTCCTGGGTTCGGTGGAAGTTCCTTATCACCAAGGCAATGGCATCCTGTGTGCTGCCATGCAGAAGGTACCGCAAACAGGAAATGTATCAGATTGTGCTTTACTTGTGTGAGATAGTACTCAATGAATGCACAATGTTACATCATATGATGCAAACAAGAACTAATGAGTTTGTTTATCTTTCAGATCGCTATGGCAAGGAAGAGGACGGTGCATCTTCATCCCCCATCTATTTGTGAGCTGGAAATAAGCCTGCAGGGTGTGAAACTAGTCATGAATTTGGATGATGAGTATGACTTTTCAGGGGAGGTAAGAGAGAGAGAAAAAGAGAAAAAATGTAAAGGTGCAACTTTATTTTTATTTTGCCCTGCTGGATATGACAGTAGTCTTGTTTACCCAATCAGCAGTCAGCAATGATTAATTTATTCTGCAAACAAAATATACGATAAATGGAGTTAAAAAAGCTAGTAGTATTAATCTGGTCCTCTCATAGACTTTTTAATATTTATTATCATTTTTTTATTTTTTATTTGGCTACTGAATCTTCATCTGATGTGTAAATGAATTAAAAAAAAATATATATACTGTGTGTGTGTATATATATATATATATATATACACACAATCCCGCCGCCTCTGCTCACTCTAGTCCGGCCTCAGCTCACGCTAGGCCGCGGTTTCCGCTCACGCTAGGCTGCCTTGTGTCTCGTTGTGAAAGCGAAACTACTTTGTTTGGCCTTCCAAAAGCCCTGCGCTGCGCTGGGACGGCTCACGGGAGAGCTCGTGGGTGATTCCCGTTTATATCATTAAGCAGAGGTTCAAATTCCAGTCCGAACACCACTGGCCACGAGCTTTGGGTTCTGCTCTCATGGAGAATATTTATTTATATAGCATAGTTTACTTTGAAGCACACGAGGAGACCCCGCCCCATTTTGGAGGTTCTGCCCACTTTTGGAGTTCACGCCCCATTTTGGATTTCTCCGGTCTGCAGTTATATCTACTTGGAGATGAGCTTTGTAAAAATAGACGCGTTTCAAAAAGGCGGAGAAACAATAATGTACAGTATGTGGAAAATAATGTGTTTTTTGAACTTTAAACCGCATAAACGCATTTCATTACACCAAATACACAAAATAATGTTCTTTTTAGCAGCATCATATGACCCCTTTAAAATGAAAAATGAAAATGAAATAATTATCTAAATCCTGGTTTATTGTGAACAAATTGTTCAGAATTTGCCTGAAAAAAAACAGACAAACAAAATATGCAATAACTGCTCCGCCCTGGATAAATAAATAAATAAACTAATAAATAAGAAAAACATAAATTACAAATAAAATATAAATTACAAATAAAAACAATTATTATAGTTATTTAGTCAATTTGACATCAAAATTGACCTTATTTAGTTTATTATTTAAATCCTGGTTTATTGTGAACAAACTGGTTCGGAATTTGCCTGAAAAAACAAACAAACAAAATATGCAAACATTTGACATCAAAATTGACCTTGTTTAATTTATTATTTAATTCCTAAATATGATGAATATGATGGTTTGATCAAATATGAGCTATATATATATATATATATATATATATATATATACATACAGTGGGCACGGAGAGTATTCAAATACATGACCAATACAATACACAAGCAAAACAAAACGCTGTTCACAAAGCGCAACACACAAGTGTAAGTTCTGATCTCGTATGTCTCTGTGTGCTTGTTTCAGACGTGCGTTCCAGGAGTACTACCAAGAGCACTTAGAATACGCCTGTCCTACCGAAGATATCTACCTTGAGTAAAGGAGGAAAAGGGTAACCATGGCAACTGCTGTCCCTCAGGACAGATGTCTGTTCCTGGGCTTGGCCACTACGAGGCGCCTGGCAGCCTTCTCAAATGTAACATAGGCCTCATCTCTTTATTCTCTTCCTCAGTTTCTCTTGTTCTCCCGACATGAACTGAGCTGAATACTCTACATAGGCTCTTAGTGGTCTGTCTGTTTATTTAACTGTTTATCAGTTAATTTATTCTCTTAATTGAGATGGATTGCTTGTTTATTTAACTTTTCTACTATATAATTAGGGACATGGTTTTTGGGTGGATACATCAGTTCGAGTTCTTTTTTTTATATATATATAGTCCTGGTGTAGAAAAGACAAAATATGACTTGACATGTTTGATTGCATGGCTTTGAGGGTTATGCTCACAAACACACACATACACACACAATGTCTAAAAGCAAAAGGCGATCAGAGGTTTGAATCTGAAGACCAGGATTGTTTGTAAATATGTATTTGTCCGATTCTGATACATTGCTGTACTGGGTTTGTACTAAAAAGGACAAGGCAGTAAGACGTGACCTGGAGTCGTTGATAGGTCTACAGATTGTCTGTTCCAATGTAGTAGAAGGTTTAATGTACGTTTCTGATTTAACCGCGATGTAAATACTGTACAAATAGGGATGACTGTAGGTGAAAACAGATGCTTCATTACATCATGGTATGCAAGTATCCTGCGCCATCTGTCTGAGAATGAGAAAGTGGGACGGATTGCAGGTCGGCAGGCTGGGTGTACAGTAGAGGAATCTAGAGATGGTTCAGTGAATCTCATCAAGTCATATCTGGAAAATATTTGACCCCAAAATCACAAAGATGTTGTGTAAAAATTATGATTTTTTTGCAACTGTGACGTTATTTTCATCTCAACTTTTAACACCCCCAATTACTGTAATGCATCCAGATATTTCAGTTTTGAGTTTTGTGCATAAGTTTTTCATTATTAATTATTATTAATTATTTGCAATGCCATTGTGACATTGCCATCACAGTTAAACACCCACAATTAGAGTAATGCATCCAGATGTTTTAGTTTTGGGTTTATTTATAGTTTTAGTTGATTTTCATTAATGATTCTCAGTAATACAGTAATAAAAATCATCCTGTCAATATGCTTTATTTTAAATCAGCATGCAATTAAGGCTGTGCTACAAATATTACCATTAAGTATAAATAATTTACAATGATTATATCATTAATTAATATCAATATTGATTCAAATAATAATAATGATATTTTTTGTATTATAATTGTTATTAATAATAATAATAATAATAATAATGAAAAATTATTTGTATTTATTTATTTAGCTTTACATTATTGGAGGATAAGGCACATAAAATGTGCTGAAGTGTCATAATGTCATTAATATCAATATTCATATAATTAATTAATCAATCAATTAATTGTTGTTAGTTTTTTTTTTAACATTACAGTAATAAAGGGTGAGGTGAGGGAATGTGCTTAATTGTCATGAAACAATCATAATATAGGCTTTATTTTCTTCATGCACATTAAAATGTATTTTTTATTTTTTCATTTTATTTTGGGGTAAAATATTACTGAGATATCAACTTTGTACGATTCATCCGGTTGGCTATGATATAGCTCAGTCCTTTGGGCATTCAGTCAAATAATATTTCTCCAGCTCTCAAACCTGACAGCCCCTCTACTTACCATTGTCTGCTGTCTTGTATGATTGTCGGGTTGGACTGACGCTTTTAGCTTTTAAGCCTGATATAGCTCACCTCTCATGCTTTGAACGTTTGCAGGTAGAAACTTCAGAGAGATATGATGCTTATAGACAGCGAGTAAAATGAAAAGACCCGTTCACTGGGAAACACACTGAATGCAGGAATGTTTTACCAATGGACTTGATAATTTAATCCAGTAATCTGCAGGACAAATATTGCTTCATATTACACCGGTAAAGAATAAAACACCCCAATTCTGTCCTGTGAAGCAGATGTATAGGTGCCATGTGATTATATAATAAGCTCAGGATATCAGAAAACAACCCTTGTGCATTGTTTTGTCTCTCTGAGTCAGTCACAGATGCCGACTGGCAGACGCAGTTGTTCAGCTCTCTGATTTAGCCCTTGTCCTGACCTTGACCGGCGCTGCTGAGACTGAACAGAGCAGAGCAGATCCCCCTCTCATCTGACTTTTTCGTGCACACTGCACTGCGGTATACTAGTATGCATACATAGTATGGTAGTATGCTATTTTGAACGCAGCCCATCGTTCCCTGCACACGTGACTGTATCCTCCAGCAGCCTGCAATCTGTTTCCATGGTTACCCGTTCATTTGTGACGGTGACACTCTCACGGAAGGAGTTTTATGTTTTATATGTGTCTTGTTTTCGGTTAGATTGCTGTAAATATTCTAGAGTCAGGATCGCCATGCTGTGTCCTTTCTGTTGAGTGTGTTATTGAGATAAATATGTACATTTAAAAGAAATAATAATATTAATAATAATGTTCACAACCAAAAGCCAACTGTGATGGGGTGAAAAGATATAAATAGCTTTGAATTAGTATTTGTATCTTTCCTTTATCTGCTTTTCATTGGTATACATCTGTTGTTGGATGTGTGGTCAGTCACCATGTGCGGAATAACATGCAATCGCTGACGATCTAACAAATCCGCCGTGTCAATCAGATCTTCCTTCATTCACAAACAGACACGCATCGAATGCCCAAAAACTCATTCGTCGAGTCAATCAGCAATTTTGTCTCATTTATGAGCAATCATTTATATCAATCGGAGCTCTAAATCCTTAGTTATGACTGTTACATGACATTTTTTGTGTGTTCATAAGGTAAATGAATATCTTGACTATTTTAGCCTTCAATTTAGCAATTTGTAGTGACAAATTGGCTGTGAAACCCCTAACACATTCAGGCAGAGCATCTAATACTTCTTGATTACTTAAGCTTGGGTAGCTGAAATACACAGTTCTGGACTTAAACGTACATAATTCAGTCCTTCACTGTATAACGGAAACCGCTTCAGTATGACAAAACTATGTATCTTGTATCTTTAAAAATGACAACTTGTAAAGAAAAAACGAACAAAAAAAATCTCACTGCCTTGTCATGGATTTGGTCTTATGAATAAAATAATATATGCTCGATGTCTCCAAAGTGTTTCTGAGAAGTGTTATTTTGATATAGTTTAGATTCTATTATAGTTTTTATTAATTATTTTTACATTTTCTGTTTTCAATTGAATTGAATTTTAGTTAAAGTTGAAGTCATTTTGTTGTTTTTGTCATTTTTATTATTTTTTTCTTAATTATCTATATAGCTTTTTTTTATTGCAGTTTTAGTTTGTTATTTTAGTACACAAAGTAAATGAAAATGAGACATGTTCTGAAAACGTATCTGAAATAAGTTTTAATTTTCATTTGATTTCAAACTACAATTTTTTATGGTTTAAACTTGAGTTTCAATTAACTATAATAACTGTGTTTCTGAGTTTATTTGGCAAAGGTGAGACTTCGCCGCTTGTGGGACTGATGCTGGTGGATGGCAGCTCTGTAAGTTCTCTCCGTCATGTTTGTCATCTACATGTTAGGCTGCCTTTAAAGGGATAGTTCACCCACAAATGAACATTGCTGCCATTAATTACTCACCCTCATGTTGTTCCAAACCTGTAAGACCAAATGAATTTATTTGTGATGAAATCCAATGGCTTTCTGACCCTGCATAGACAACAACGCAACTACCACATTCAAGGCCCAGAAAGGTAGTAAGGACATAATTAAAATAGTCCATGTGACATCAGTGGTTCAACCCTAATTTTATGAAGCTTCAAAAGTACTTTTTGTATGCCAAAAAAAAAATATATATATAAATTTATTCAACAATTTCTTTCAATTTTTGATGCACATTAATGAGAGTACCACATCACAAATAAAATGTAAAGAGCTTTATATAATGTAATATAATGTGGTAATATACATTTAATTACTATATTAATATAAGCATTTTTCCATATTCCCTAATAAATGGTTTGCCATTCAGCCAGTTCAGCCTTGTACACGCATGACGAGGAGGAATAAAATATATAACTTTCTTTTATTTTTAAAAATCACTCCATAATTATGATTCAGTGTTAAAAGCAGACTGATAGTGAATGAAACTCAAAAAAGTATGACATAAACATTCATACATTTGTACTTAAAAATACACAGTCACTGTTAACAGCCTATTATTATATCTGAACTAGTTGAACTGAGAGATAAGTGAGAAAATCAATAAGACCATTTTTAGCATTCATACTATCATTCTATGCATCAACTGGAGTATTTGTGGACAAAATAAGCAACAGGATCAACTTCATTTTTTATCAAATCTTTTCAGTTGTTTTCCTTCAGCAAAGAACCTAAACAACATTCCAGAAACGTTATTATGCTTTTTCATTGCATTTTGCTTTGAGAAGAAAATCAATGGAAGATTGTAAACACAATCAGTCTTTTGGCGGTCTTGTGAATTGTAATTTCATGATTTGGCAGTGTGCCGGCCGCTGCTTCCATTAAAGTGCAGAAGTGCAGCGGCAGCATGTGGGTTTAGGGGTGCAATTAGGAATGCAGCAGGGCTCGAGTGCAGAGTCTCTCCCTTTGGCAATCTCACTCTCGCCAAACACCATAGAAGCCTCAAACTGCTCCTTGACGGCCTGGATTTGCTTGAGCACAGAGTCCCATTCGGTACTGTTAAGGTTATAGTTTTCTGATGGATCTGCCTCTAAGTTATATAGTAAAGGAGGATCATGGCGCTTGAGGAAAAGTGATGAGCAGTTGCTGTCCTGGGGGTTTTCACTGTGAATTGCACCTGAGTTATGGGGGGAAAAAAGACATAAACGAAATAAACAGGAAGGTGAGGTTTATATAGTCTAAGCAATGGTGAACTTACCCTGTGTATAGTAATGTGCTTTGAAATTTTTCCATCTCACTGCAAACACGCTATACTTCTCACTTGGAGCAATCGGGTAGTAAAAGATGGTCTGTCTTTCACTCTGAAACATCAATAACAAGGTTTTTAAAGCACGGGCTCATTGGCATGAAGTCAAATAAATAATGACAGAGATATTTGGTAAACTATTCCTTTAACCATTTTAAATAGTTATACATAGTGTCTCCAAAATCTACAATAACAAAATACACTGTAAAAACATACTGAGGTTCTGTGGTGCTGTGCTCAAAGATGTATGTCTAATAATGGATGTATATGTAGGTTAACTATTCAAAAATAAAGCAGACTGAATGCAAGAATGCTTCCTGTATGCTTAGAAAAAACTAAATATGTAGGTGACCCTGGACCACAAAACCAGTCTTAAGTCGCTGGGGTATATTTGTAGCAATAGCCAAAAATACATTGCATGGGTCAAAATAATTGATTTTTCTTTTATGCCAAAAATCATTAGGATATTAAGTAAAGATGTTCCTAGAAGATATTTTGTACATTTCCTACTGTAAATATATCAAAACTTAATTTTTGATTAGTAATATGCATTGCTAAGAACTTAATTTGGAAAACTTTAAAGGCAATTTTCTCAGTATTTAGATTTTTTTGCACCCTCAGATTCCAGATTTTCAAATAGTTGTATCTCAGCCAAATATTGCCCTATCCCAACAAACCACACATCAATGGAAAGCTTATTTATTCAACTTTCAGATGATGTATAAATCACAATTTCAAAAAATTGACCCTTATGACTGGCTTTGTGGTCCAATACACTATTGTTCAAAAGTTTGGGGTCAATAAGATTTTTTTTTTTTTTTAAAGAAATGTGTAGTTCTATTGTGCAATGATGAGTTAAACTGATCGAAAGAGACACTAAAGGCTTCTAAAGTGTTAACAATTTTTATTTAAAAAAATCTGAACTTTCTATTCATCAAAGAATCCTGAAAAAATGTGTCACTGCTTCCACAAAGATACAGAAGTAGCACAAAAAGAAATATTTCTTGAGCATATTAGAATGATTTCTGAAGGATAATGTGACTCTCAAGACTGTAGTAATGATGCTGAAAATTTAGCTTTGCATCACAGGAATAAATTGCATTTTAAAGTATATTAAAATAGAAATAAAAATATTTCACAATATTACTGTTT